TGCCCTACACCAGAATCGTCCTCGTTTTGAATACTTGTGCAGCAAATTCCCTGCACTTAGTAAAGAAAAATTGAAAACCTGAATATTTGATGGGCCTCAGATACGACAACTTATGAAAGACTGGCATTTTACAGTCATTGCACTATGCATTACACTCAATTTCAGACATGAAATTGGGTGTAATGCATGGTGCTCTCTTGTGAAAGTTGTGGAAACTTTTCTTGGAAACAATAAATAAGAAAATTACCGGAATTTTAACAAACACGGATGTCATATGAGTATTAAAATTGATCACCTCCACAGCCACTTAGACCGTTCTCCAGAAAATCTAGGTGACCTTAATGAGGAATAAGGGGAACGCTTCCACCAAGATATCAAAACAATGAAAGAGAGGTATCAGAGGAGATGGGACACTCACATGATGGCGGACTACTGCTGGAGTCTTCAAAGGGACCGTCCTTCCAAAGCCTTTGCAAGAAAATCATATAAAAGGAAGTTTTTAGGTGACGCCGAATAACAGATTTGTGCTGCGATGCTGGTTAGGTTACATGAAAGCTTAAGTTTTTTTGGCAGACAAGAATCAACTGTATTTTGTCAGACGTATCATTATATAACTTTCTATCTAACGTGCTAATCATATCTAGATTCTCCGAAGATTAGGCCTATATACTCAATTTTGACTGGTTTCCTATATTTTCATAAGAATAATTTATATAAAGTTTTTTTTGTCGTTGTTATTTCTTTATGCATTCCTAAAATGTCAATAATAATCATTGAGTCTGAGAAGTCCACCCCAGTACCCAGCGTACTGCCGGAAGGACAATGAAATTGAAAAGTCGAGTCCTGCTGGCAGGGCATGAAAAATTTCAACACCGATGTACAAAAGTACTTCCGGCAGGACCTTTCAGTACGTTCTATCACTGAGAATATATTTTTTACCGAATAATTAACCAATTCACCTGACAAGAATCAACTGTATTTTGTCAGACGTATCTTTACGTAACTTTCTATCTAACGTGCTAATCATATCCATAGATAAGGCCTATATACTCAACTGGTTTCCTATATTTTCATATTTATCCCTCCATCCCTTAATTTTTTCTGATTCTGTACATTGTTTAGAGGTTCCCTAACCTCATTTGTTTCAGCGTTTGATTATTCACATGACAATTCTACGATTTTCATGAATCCTTAGATTGCATTTTATGAGACAGTAAGAATTGACTGAAAATTTTCAGATGCAATTTTGAGTTTCATCCACCCTTCATCTGAAAATTTTTGATAAGCCACTTCTTTGACATCCTATCCTATAATTATTATCAAGAAAATCGTGTGATCCAAAAAACATGCTATTTTGTATAATTGTTACGTGGAAAAAATCTGTTGAACTCAAGTAGAGATGTTGTTTAGTTTCACGAATTGAATAGCTGAATAAAAGCTAGTGAAAATATTTTCATGCTTTTCATAGCGTATTTTCTATTACATAACACCTGGACAAGTATTTCGAAACAATCATGACATAGGGATAAGGAACCATTACATAGTGAATCTCAACAGATATCTTAGATAAACAAACTTTTTTTAGATGGAAACCCAAACATGGTAATCTCTCAGAACTTTTTTTACTTTAATAAGTACCAAATTTATCTAATGTTTGATTCACTTATCATTTGAATATGATTATGCTGCTATTTTCAATGTAACACCAGTGATATTCCATTCACTACTGAGTTATTTTTACTGCTTTTGGATAATTATCGATCCTATTTCTCACAATCATGAAGATGATTTTTAATTTCAATATGCAAATTGTTTTAACATCTACATCTGAACTTTATTCACTGATGAATCAACATTTTTATTATTGTGATTGTAATAATTTGATTTTTTCCATGAGTAATCCATGTTTCCAAATTCTTTCAACGTTTGACAAACAGGTTTATGAAATATAATGTTCTTGTTACATAATCTAGAGAAGCAACAAACCTGTGAATGCTATCTGATTCAATTCCATTAGGAATGTTTGGAGTACATCTGAATACGAAAAAGGTTTTTGTTTCATCCGATATTGATATGAAAGTAGTTGTTTGGAATGTATTTTGTATTTTGTGCAATTCAATGTTTATATACCGATATCACTGGATGTAGCGATAGCAGAAAAAACGGAAACTTGAATTTCAAAAATAAAAGTGTAGGATAAAAAATATAGAGATTCCAAGCCAAGTTACTTAACGACGTTTCGATTGTTAGTATCCACAATCATCTTCGAGTGATGACTGGACTAATTCCTCCGAAAGATGACTATTTATGGATCATTTGAGTACTCTCACTTATTTCCGCTTTCCTTTTTCCGCTTCACCAGTTTAGTGGGAGATGACCGTTTGGCGAGAGCTGGCTATTTTTCGCTTGATTATGAGTTTCTATATGTTGCGTATCTCTACGCTAGCTTGGCTGAATACATTGTTGGACAACATGTATGCGGCTTCTTTGAATTTCCACCTAAACCATTGTTCCTCGCTGTGTATGATCTCAGCTTAGGACCACTCGATGTTATGTTGATGGGTCCAAACATGCTCTGCTTTTCCTGATTTGCTGGTTTCCCCTCGCTATGTGTGTTACTTGTGCTCGGCAATGCGAAAATTCAATGCCCTCTTTTTCACCGATATAGGATTTTCCGCTCTCACAGGGTATCTGGTGAAAGCCATTCTTGGTATCGCAGTCCGCGTTTGGTGACCTGGTTTTCGTGAGCCTGCTACGGATAGTATTTCAGGATCTGAAGCAGGTTCTGATGTTGTACATGGATCCAATTCTTCTTATTTTTTTCCGATAATCCTCTGATATAGGGAAGTGCAAGCACTGGTTGTGACGGCTTCCCTTCCTTGCGATGCTCCTTCTGTAGTTTAGCTGAAGTCTGTTTCACTATTGCTTTGGAGTAGCCATTCCTTTGGAAATAATTTTTGCTGTCTAGTCCCTTCTCGAGACCTTCCTTCGTATTACAGGGCCCGAAAGCGCGGTCTAATAGAGTCTTGATGATTCCACTTCTAGTCGATTGATTGTGGTTGGATTCGTGGTTCAGATACTGTCCCGTGTGAGTGGGTTTTCGGTACTCAGATGTATCCTACTCAGTGACGGCCCTCTTCACCAATACGTCTAAGAATGGCAATTCGTTGTGGACTTTCCTCTCCATTGTGAAAGTGATGGAAGGTCTTACGCTGTTGATGTGTTTTAGTAAGACGTCTCTAGTTCAGTATTGCCATGTTTCCATATTATGAAGGTGTCGTCAACGTATCTCAACCAGACAGGAGGTTTCTTGTGGTCTTCTTTAATGGCCAGATTATCAAACCACTTCATATATATATGTTGGCTATGACTGGTGAAGGTGGCGATCCCATTGGCAGTCCCTCATCTTGTGTGAAGAATTCGCGCTTCAGTTGGAAATAACAGTTTCGTACACATCATCCTTGTGATTCCATAATTAATTCAATAGGTGAATTCGTTCTATCTTCCAGGTCCCCGTCTTTGGATAGCTTCATTTATATGATTTGGAGTGCTTCTTCGACCGGAACGTTGGTATAAAAGCTTTCCACGTCGAAACTGATTAGTTGATCTTCCTGTGTGACTTCAATTGCCCCTAGTATTTCGACAAAATGCCTTGAATTCTAATATATGATGGAATCGGCCGATACTTGATGAAAATCCATAACTACCGTATTCCAAAAACACTTTATTGTGAGATTTTCACTAAATTGTTTTACAAAAACGCAACACGTGTTTCGCCATACAATGGCTTCATCTGGCGTGTCTTGAAAGACACAAAGTAAGACGTCTCTAGTTCAGTATTGCCATGTTTCCATATTATGAAGGTGTCGTCAACGTATCTCAACCAGACAGGAGGTTTCTTGTGGTCTTATTTAATGGCCAGAGTATCAAACCACTTCATATATATGTTGGCTATGACTGGTGAAGGTGGCGATCCCATTGGCAGTCCCTCATCTTGTCCCTCATCATTGAATTCGCGCTTCAGTTGGAAATAACAACAATCATCCTAGTGATTCCATAATTACTTCTATAGGTGAATTCGTTCTATCTTCCAGGTGCCCGTCTTCGTATAGCTTCATTTGTATGATTTGGAGTGCTTCTTCGACCGAAACGTTGGTATAAAAGCTTTCCACGTAAAAGCTTTCCCTAGTAGTTCGACAAAATGCCTTGAATTCTTGCATTCAACGGATACCATGTGAGTGCGAAAAATCCTGTATCGGTGAAACTGATAAGCTATTGCACAGCACAGGAATAGCAGAGCATATTTGGACCCATCAACAAAATATCAAGTGGTCATAAGCTGAGATCATACACAGGGAGGAACATTGGTTTAGAAGGAAAATCAATGAAGCCGTCCAACAATGTATTCAGCCAAGCTAGCGTAGAGATACGCAACATATGGAAACCCATAATCAAGCGAAAAATGGCCAACTCCCGCCAAACGGTCATCTCCCACTAAACCGGAGAAGAGAAAACCGGAAAGCGGAGATAAGTGAAAGTACTAGAATGACCCATAAATAGTCATACCTCGGAGAAATTAGTTCAGTCACCCAAAGACGTGCGATTTCTAGCATGGAATTTACTTTTTGTGGTATATTCAGAATCTGGGCTGTGGTTGAACGAAACCAGAAGTATCAAACATTTTATCTGATACTGCGGCAGGCATTATCGGTGACTCAGCAACGACTGATGAGACTGGCATCTCATCCACCCAGATTTTATTCTCTTCAATCGTGACTCCGGCCGTGGAAGCCCATGTTCTCATATTTATCAATCCATTGAAACTGTGAGTGAAATACTGAGAGTGATTAATCTGCTCCATAATAATGTGGATATATTTCAATGATATATGAAAATGAGAAATAACAGTAAAATGGAACACTAAATTTCTATTACATATTAGATACTCATGGCAGTTTATGAAATACTGAAGTGAACTAAAACTTTGTTTTCATTTTCAGCCACACTTCGGGTGTAACTCTACTAGGATTGCCATCTGAGGTCTATATTTTTGGAGCCACGTATTGGTTGACAGCGATTTCGTTCATCTTCGTTATTGCGATAACTATTTTTGTATTCCTTCCTGTTTTTCACAAGTTACAATTGACGAGCGTCTATGAATATTTGGGCCTCAGATTCGATGGGAGATGCAGAAAATTATCATCGATTTTGTTCGCACTTTCCATATTTATGCATTCACCTATTATTGTTTATATTCCCGCTCTTGCTTTCGCAGCAGGTGAGTATTGGAGAACTCATTTGTTATATTTTTGTTGTTACTTTTTATGTATGTGTAATGATATACATGTAGCTGGAAAACAGTAAACAGTAGGTGATGCAACAGTCGTTCTTCCACACTCACTGTGCAAATATCCATCTTTTTTCATATGAAATCAAAAACAAATTCGAAACTTTCCATAATATTGCAATTTTATTCGAAAACACTATTACTGTTTATGGTATTTTCACAAAATTGAAAGAAAAAAGTCCAATTCTACACAATTTTGTTGTGGAGTTTCTTGTGCTGATTGCAACCAGAGTTACATAGGATAAACCAGTAGACTTCTCAATGACAGAATCACAAATCACAAAAGTGACATTCCAGATCACTCTAACAAATTACATGAAATTAATCTCTCTAGATCCCGTTAGTATGAATTCTAAAAGTCACATAGGACTTCATACAATCTATACTTATTTGCTTCACCTTGATAAGAATATATTTTATAATCATCCGGTAACTAATTGAAACAATTGATATAATAACTAGTTTATCATTTTTTTCCCAATAATTCAATGATGCCATGTATATATAATATAAGTCATTCATAATCATCTTTAATATTTCTGGTCATGACATGACAACTAATCGGTTACCCAATTTATTTTTTAATTCAAAAAGTTATACTCAGAGTTAATCAGAGAGACCCGTCCATCCACTTTGGGCAGAATATCCTACATTTAATTTTTTGACAAGATAATTGACAGTTGACTTGGACATGTTTGAAATAACAAAGTAATCTTTGTGAAAAAGTCACAATGATTTTTGAACATTCTGTATGATATTGAGAAACGGGTTTTGTAGAAATCGATAGCCCAAAACCTCTTTTATACTTGGTTAACATTAGAAGGTATGATTTCTATATATTTCAATGTTATTTAGTTTCCAATTGTACCTAGCATTTTCATAAAAAATCAATAATTCGAAAACAGTTATAGTCAGGTACATACCTTTTATGAAATCATATAATTTTGAAATGTTTGAAGAAATACAAGGTGTTTCATTCGAAAAGAAACACAAATTTGATATGTCACATTTTTTTGAGCTACCATGTACACACTGTAAAATGATTTCCTTGTGCAGCCTCAATCAATATACATATAATTAAATGGAAAAATTCTCGAAAAAATCAATGATTTGGTTTATAGGGACCGTGTCGTATAGGGTGTCCCACCCGGTATACATATCGTTTCCGAAAAAACATTTTACTGCTAGTTCCGTTTTTAAGCATTCTGAAGCTTCTATTATAATTTCATGAAAATATCAGGTAAAATTACCCAAGGAAACAATGAGGCTGAAACATGGGGGCTGAAACAAGCAAGACGTAGGTACTGGCATACATAATGGCGGTTGAAGCCATGCAAAAACTAGCTTTTTTGGAAAAGCAACCGCAATGCACTAGAATTGAAGACATTCTAGAATATTTCCCTTTGTATATTTAGTAATGACAGGAGAAAGGCATTAGTGGAATATTCAGACTAGCAAAATCGCCAAGCTATAGAAGGACATCAAACATATTCACGGGCCAAATGACAATTCCATAGAAATGTCACGGTTGAAGTAGAACTTCGCGAAAAATAGATGATGATTAGACCCAAAAATATGCTTTGCAGAAACATCTGGTATGAAGACAAGTTATAAAACGAACATGAAACGGAAATAACAATATACGGTGCGGGTCGAAATTTACTTCACAGCTACAATATGCGATATTCTATTCGAATATTTTGTACGTTCCATCCTGTATACGTCAATCATAATAAATGATAATTGAATTGCTAGCTTTCAGTTATAATTCACTGACACTTTTTGAATTATCGTATTATCACTAGAAGCCACTAAAATTGTATACTCAAAGGATCTGACCGAAAATCAAAACTCAATCTAGATTTTCTTATTAGTCAATGAGCTATGCTTGAAGACTGGCATTAAACAAATCTAAAGCAAATGGAACTTCAAACGTTCAAGCCAGTCTCTATATACCTACACAGTAGGTATATAGAAGTCTCTATATACCTACACAGTAGGTATATAGAGTAGGTACACAGTAGGTACACAGTAGGTTTAATGGACTGACGCCTATCAGAAAACAACTTCTCCCCTGGCTAATACCACGAAGGGCGTTGAATTATATCAGACAGGCGTCAGTGCAGGAATCTTCACAGAAAATGTCATGCATATGCAATTGGCAATACAACTGAAAGAGTCGACCTTCAATTATGGAACGGGCACACTTGCAGACCGGTTTCGGGCTGTCTGATATAATCCAACGCCCTTCGTGGTATTAGCCAGGGGAGTAGTTGTTTTCTGATAGGCGTCAGTCCATTAAACCTACTGTGTAGGTATATAGAGACTGGCTTGAACGTTTGAAGTTCCATTTGCTTTAGATCAATCTAGATAATTAAACCAGGTGTCGGAAGTAGGGTACTTTGACTTATTTCATTTCACGATTTCTAAAAATTACCAAAAATTTACAACTTTTTCAGCAAGTGGTATCGACGTTCATATCATTACTCCCATAGTTTGTGGAATCTGTATTTTCTACACTACCTTTGGAGGACTCAAAGCTCTAGTTTGGTCAGACACAGTATTATTCACAGTGACTACGGTGACTATTTCTATCATTTCGTTTCTTGGAATCCATGCTGCGGGAGGAGTTGGTAATGTTTTCAGAACGGCTATCGAAGGACACCGTCTAGATATTTGGCAGTATGTTTTTTAAACAATTAATTTTCTATTATCTAATTCAATGGCGAGGCTATAAGCTGACTTGTATTGTGGACTTTTACGTTGATATGCTTGTTCGAGAGTAACTAGAGATTTATTGAAGAAATATGTTATTTCTTTGAATTGACAATATGGATTCTGAAAATGCCATGTTGGTTTTCAGATAATGATTGTGGGTCTTTTTGGTATGTTCACTGTATACTTGAAAACGATTGAAAACTTTTATAACGATTCATAGAGTTCATGAGTAAAAATAATTTCATCCACAGGAAGTAACCAATAGGACTGATATGGAATATGTAGTAAACGAAGGGAAAACTTTGGAAGCAGTTTCACAAAATGCTGACTGGTCTTGTTCGGAAACAAAATGAAAGTTAACGAAAGTATCATGTAAATATAATGTGTACTCCCCTTATAAGAACGAATATTTTATTTTTATTTGAAAAAAGAAGGAGTGCTGACTAAACTGTTCGTTAATACAGTTCTGTGGGTATCCATGTGTTGATGGAAATTATCGATATGCCTTGTTATGTTACCAATGTGAACATTTTCGAGAGAGCACTCGAATATTTTTTATGAATACAAAGAACAATCATATAGCGAACGTTGGAATTTGATCTAATGAATTGTCACTGACAGTGTATACGATGGGGAGCACTTGTAATATTTCTCTAGTAGCGAATGCGCTAGCTCTAGTTATTCAGTCTTTGATTTTCGAGTATTTCGATATTGGTTTTGAAACGAGTGTTTGTATCAGTTCTTCGAATAGTTTCTGCATTCATTATGAAAAATCAAAGGATTCCCCCTGGAGTTAAAAATTATATTATTTTAGCGAAATTTGAGATGAATCTACTATAGTTTCAAGCTGAACCAAAGGAATATTTTAATTTTTCTTTGAATTTTTGATCCTAGAAAATTTATTATGCAATCAAATTTGTTTAAGTTCAGTTTCACTCCTCCTATGGTTATGAAGGGACCAATATACACTACTAACCTGATGAATTTGAATTCTTCGGGTGGAACTTTGAAATCAGCTTGGTGTAGTCTTCTGAATACTCCTTTCAGTCTTGAACTACAGTCATGACTATTCAAGAAATAGTTGATATTGCTTGATCTGGACTTCAAGCAGATTGGTATTCACTAGTGTGAAACGTAGATGGAGCGTTCTTGAGGCCAAAACTCATCCTGATGAATTCACGATGGCGATTTTCCATAGATGCCGTTTTCGTGATGCCCTTCTTATCTATCTTATGTTATCTATTTTTAAAAGGCACACATTTTTCGCCCGAGAAATTGATACTTTCTGGAATAGCATTTGAGTTTATAACTGAAAATCAAGCGTCCATAAATACTTTCACCAGGACATTTTAATATAGTTTTGAATATTTTAGTAGCCTCATGAGACAATATAAATATTTCAGTTGAGCATGAATGTGCTCCCTACATGAATTACCACTATAGCAGGTAGCTGTAGCTGTCTCCATGGTGATTTCACTAGTTTCATTGTAAACACAAAGTCTCTCAAACGAAACCACAAATGCCTGGCTGGGTGATGGCTCCGTGTATTTTTTCTTTCAAATGTGGCTCATCCTAACACTAGGTTGCACCATATTGAAGACGGGCCAAAATCTAGAAGGGGTGCATTTCAAATTGCAACCTTATTCAAGAAAAAAAAGAAAAAATAATAGATATCATTATTTTATATTGATCATGCTGAGAAAAAATACATATAATTGCTTCAATGTTTCAGATTTGATTTCGATTTGGTGGCAAGGGACTCTTTTTGGACGATAGTTCTAGGATTCACCTGTCACTTGATAGGAATAACCACAATTAATCAAGGATGTACTCAAAAGTTCCTCTCAGTAGCTGAACTCAGAGATTGCAATATGTGAATTATTAGAAGCTCTATTTTGTAAATAACCTACCAACCAAATTAACGAAAATGAACTGCTTAACAGCCTAGATAGATATAGATATTCAATATTTTTGGTTATATGTTACAATTTCATTGAGTCCACTATCATGAACTCGCACGGATGGATGATAAAATAATAACGATAGTGAAACCTGTTCTACAATTGCTATTGTTCTAATGAATTTCATAATACTGAAATTTCTACCAATTCCTGAAGTTATGTTTCGAAAGCGTGAAACTTCACATTTTCTGCAAACTCCACACACACGAAAAATCAAGTGAAGCTTATGTTTCTGACGAAATGCACATACTTACAACAAAAGTGTATCAGTGTTCAATCTATAAATGGAAAAGTAAAAGAAAGGCTTCCAATTAACTATGGTACAGAACAGAGTATGTTGTTTCAATCGATAAGGGTTTATTTTCAGAAGACGTGTTTTCGGAAAAAAGCTCAGTGGCTTTCACTTCTCCAGCTTCATACAAATAATTGAGTTTGAAAGTAAATTTCATGCATACACCTCTGTAAGGAATTCATTTTAAACTCAATTGCATTCTTTCTTTCTTTGGATGTTCTCCACAATTTTTCGTATGGATATGAAATTGTGAAAGCCACATACTCGTTTCAATGCATACAATATTTCAATATTTCAGAACTGTGGTCTTTTATTGTTTGGGGATGGTGTTCATCAAAACCCTGTGTATTATCTGTGGAATACTTATTTACGTGAGATATGCTCTATGTGATCCCTTGACCACGAAGCAAATCACTAAGAGCGATGAGATATTTCCGTTCTACGTATTGGATGTTGCTGGAAACATTCCTGGTCTGTCTGGATTATTCATTGCTGGCGTGTTTTGTGCTTCTTTGAGGTGAGATGTGAATTTTGCAATATATATATACAGGGTAATTCAAATTCAAACCCCACCATTGGGATCTCTTAAACTACAGGAGATACGTCGAAGCTCAAATTGTGGCAATGTTGCGTTTTTTATGGAGCCCATAATAGAAAAATTGATGTTTATATTTCTGATATACTGTTTGAAAAAACTTCTATGACATATTTCCAATAATTTCAGTGCGCAATCTTCCAGTCTCAACTGCGTAGCTGGTACTATTTATGAGGATTTCCTTAAAACAACTCTAGAGAAGAGGGGCTATAAAAATCCTACCTTTTCCTTGAAGCTACTTGTTGCCATTATAGGAATAATTGGAACTCTGATGGTATACATAGTTGAACATCTTGGAGGTTTATTAGCTCTGGCCATTGGAATTGGAGGGGTCACCAGTGGACCTCTTTTGGGATTGTTTACAATGGGAGTTCTTTTTCCTAGAGGAAATGCTCTTGTGAGTTCAACTAAATAGTTTATTGTTCAAAATATACTTTATACAATTGTATACATTACATTGTCTTAGTTTCTGGAATATTCTGAAAGATGTCCCCAAAATTTTTCAATATTTTTAATTTTTTTCAACTGACTTGGAACTGAAAACTGTCTTTCACAAAAAATATTTTCATTGGGTCAAAACTTCTTTTTTTCAAGGACAAAACACAACCACTACAGAAAAATCCTCAAGGTGCTCTGAGAGCGGTGCCTGTGCGAAACTAGTGATTCAAAGTAGATTCGAATCGCTGGAGATTAAATTCGTTTGAAAAAACGTTCTCTGGAAGTTAATTCCACATGAACGCAGTTGTCTAAATGAAAGAGTTCTTGAACAGTGAAATCCGAAGTGTATTGAATTGAACCTCAAAACGATGAGTAGCTCTTGATAGAATCGAATGTGCCAAATCACTTGAACACTTCTCGTGAAAGTATTCACAAAAGCGAGATAAATCTCCAACCTTGCTTCGATGTTCGCGTCTCCAATCAGGCGGATTGATCTTTTCTGGATGACGTTCAGCATCTTCAGGATATGCCTAGGGGCAGAGCTCCCCTTACATGAGAACAATATGCCAAAGAAGGTCCGATCTGAGCTTTATAAAGCATCAAAAATTGCTGAGGTGTGTACAGTTTTCTGTTCGGAGCAGTTTGAGAAGCGGCTTTTGCAATCCCAGCATTTCCAGACATATTTATGTCCGTTTCAATCCCCAACAAATGTATCGAAGCGGAAAGTCAAATTTCTGACCTTATCTGACATCAGTAGTTTGGCTAGGATGAACGATGAACATCGATTTACTTATATGTTTTACTGAGAATTAGAATGAATTTTGAAGAAATGCATATGGAAATGAAATCATGAGAAATATGTTGATATAATTTTCACTTGAAAAGAAGCAAAATTCTCACAGGAAAAAGTGGCCCATGAATTGCATATTATTACGAATCAGGTTCAGTTTGATTTTGCTTCCAGAATTGAGTTTATGAGAGTGTCAGAGTTTGGAAATTTAATCTTCTGAGTTTGAACTGATCCTGGCGGAGAACTGTTGAGGACAACATCAGTTCTCAGATAACTGTTCAAGCGTTTCAGTGGCTGTTTTCCCCTCTTATCAGATAATATTCGTTCAACCCACAGCTGAATATAGTCTTGATTTGATGATTGAGGAAAAAAGACTCATCAGTCTATATTAGCCTGAAATTGGGGAACAAATAGTTCCAATAAATTTGGCATTCCTAATTTTCCATAACTGATTCATAAAGAATTATGATATACCGGGACCGCGTCAATACCGCAGTATTGGGGAGGAGATTTCAAGTCGGTAACAGAGTTGTATTTATCTTGTTCGATGTCTGAAACTCCCTCATAGTTGCGTACCATGCCCTCAAAGAGGAAGTACAACCGTAGAACGGACGATTTGGAATGCAAACTCTTTTGTAGATGCATCAGTATTCGTGTCTTTACATCGAGTTGAGTAGACTATCGGGACTGCAATAATTTCGTTATTTGCCAACAGATGTCTTGGCAAATAACTGCATTCAGATGGTATAGGATGCTACGAGCTATACATTCTATCGAATTCCATACCGATACCATACGTATACTCTTCAACCATTCTCAATGATTGATGGAGAACATTTTCACCAGGTCATCCATTCGAAATGAATATACCCGAATTTTCCTGAGCGCAATTAGTTATGCTAACAGTGAGTTGCAGAAAAAAAAAAAGATCCGGAGAAACCTCCTGGAAGTGATTCGCTTTATTCGAAAGCTAGCCTGACCAGGTGTTATGGTAAAGGGAGTCCACTGAAGAGGTATCATTTTCTCGGATATGACAAGATAACTGAACAAATGCAAGATTCGAATGCTTATGTTCGTCGGGTGTGTGCGATTGTTTGTCCTGCAATAAATTCAAATTGAATGATAAAAACGTTGACTTAAGAGTGAAAAATTATATCAGTGCATTCAGAAAAGGATCCTCTTCTAGCCCATATAAAAATCACGTGAGCTAAAGTAAAATTTTATATATTTGAGCGACATTCTTTGGCAAAATTCACAATGGAATGGTCCACATCCTGTGACAAAAAGATAGATTAAATAAAAAAACGTGAACTGATAAAGTACCATTTCTCACACACAGTGGCGGGTACTAACGGGGCTATGGGCGATAGAAAGGAATCAATAACAATAGAAGCTATATACAATCTACTGGAAAAAGTGAATACAAATCTCTCGTCGAAAATAGATAATGTCAACCAAGACTTGAAAACATTCATCAAAGACACTAAGGAAGAAGTCAGGGTCTTAAATGGAAAAGTGGATAGACTAGAAATTGAAAACAACGAGCTGAAAGAAAGCCTCCAACGACTTGAAAGAAAAATAAGAAGCACTAATATCATATTTTATGGAATACAAGAGAATATCAACGAGAAAGAAGAAATTCAGAAAATTATCACTAACGTTCTTCAGGTGGAATTAGAAAATTTTGACATAACGAACGTCTTCAGAATAGGAAAGTTGCACGATAGGAAAAAGAAAATACAAGTGACTGGAAAAACTGGTAGATAATGAAAAACACTTATGGTAATCAAAAAAAAACAATTTTCAGCACATTGATGTTTTCATGAGGCTTATCATATTGAAAGCAATACCACCTTTGATTCATCTTAGGATGCCTTTGAAAGGCAAAAGAAAGTCTAGACACTTCCGTGTTTAATGGCAGACGTATCAATGAAATCTTGAGCTGATGGTCTTTGTCAACAAGTCACTGAATAAGTTAAGCGGAGGATATTAAACCCAATAGGGACTGTTCAAGGTCTAACATTGAAATGAAACCTTAAATATTATAAATTAAAAAATACAGTGTTCAAGGGTCATAAAAAGTATGTGAAAAATAAGTAATTTCTGTAGCATAGAATAATTGCAATAAGAAACAATGTCTTTCGATAAATGTTATTTTACGTCATAAAATAGTTTTTACATCTCTTTATTGCCTACAACTTTTTTTTCGATAAATTGTCTAGCTGAAAACTGTAGAAAACTCTTTTCCAATCCGAAAGTTCACTATATTACACTTCTCTCAACTTGAGATGATTCTTAAATAATTTGATTTCCACAATAGTTTCATCCTTTTCTAATCATTCTTGTGTTGCTATCGATTTTGGTGATTTGTGTTTCAAACTTTCAGTATCATTTTGCAACCGATTTTGTTGAACAAAGAACAGAAAAATTTAAGGTTGTATGGAAAAATGATTCATACAAAAGTTATATTCACCCACAACTTCTATAGTGAACTCTATTTAATAGGATATCTAGTTTCCCTTTCTGAAATATTCCACATTCCATTCTCCGTACCGCAGATCGACATCAATTTATATTTTCCGTATTAATGACAAAATTTTCTATTCTTTATATATTTTTTCACGTTCACATTGATTTATTTTCCTTCATTGCATTGGCCTATAATGTACACTGAAGTATATGGATATTATCTCATTACAGTTCAAAGAAATATACTTTAGCGTGAAATAGCAGGAACATTGATGATTATTTTTGTGGTATAACAGAAATATAAACACATTTCAGGGTGCATTTTATGGAGCGATCACCAGTACACTGTGCATGTTTGTGATAATGATAGGAAATAGTTATTACAAGATGAATAAGATGTTGCACTATCGAACCCTAGCAACATCCGTTGAGAGTTGTGATTTTTATGAAAATTCGACAATAACACTGAATTCCAGGTAACGTATATGAATTTCAAAATGGTTTCAAATTTACCAGATAACCCAGCATATTTCTATAAAAAAGTGAACTAAAAATTGGTTTTGAACTGGTATTGATCTCCGGTTGTCAAATACATTTTCATGTGTAGCGAAATCGACATGCAAAATTGAAAATTCTGACCGAATGTAGTTGTAGCGGAAGATATAATTACCTATGATCGGCAGTTTGAACTGCCTAACATAGGTAATTGTTGAATATAAGTAATACAGTTTTACTGTCCAATACAACTAGGTTAGGTTGTGTTAGATCCAAAGTGAGTGGGTCTATTCGACCCTCAACCGCAAGACGCAAGGGATTATTGTGGCTCACACCTATTCACACTCGGCTGAATAAACCTATCTTCTCAACGAAGCTGGTTAGTTTGTATGGTGAGTGGTCTTTCAGGTCAGATGGTAGGAGAACAGCTCTGCCGAACTCTAAAGACCTGATTGGTGCCCATCAGGGCAGGCACAAAGTATATGCTCTGTTAATGAGGATAGTCAAGTTGCAAGATTTCCACCTTGATACCCACGACTACTTTCTCATATGAGGATTTTTGCACGTCAGCTACACCTGACAATGTCTTAAATTCAGCCGCGCAGGGCTTTTTCGCCTCTGGTTTTGGTGAATCATCACTTGAGCGCAAAAGTTTGCTTACCTGCTCATGGGGGGTTCGTTCTTCCACCTGAGACAGATTCTGCGTATGCCACTCTAGAATTTGGTGCAAGGCGGTTTTATAAGGTACCCCGCCTCTGAGAAGACGACTCACTCGTTTCCTGACTGCAGCACCAAACTTTTTTTTCAAGGTTCAAATGTTGGATCAGGAGTTGGGGAGTTGAGAAACTGTTGCTCCTGAACTAAATTTACAGAGAGGTCAGTTGGAGTTGTAAACCCGGCATTCATCTCCTCTGTAGACTCGCTCCTCAACTAAATTTACATAAAGGTAGGTAGGTAGGTGAGTCTGAAGTGAGTGGGTCTATTCGCCACTCCATCGCAACCCATAAGGGTTTATTATGGCTCACACCTATTCACACTCGGTCAAATAAAACCAGCTTCTTAACGAAGCCGATTAGTTTGTATGGTGAGTGGTCTTTTAAGTCAGATGGTGAGAGTACGGATCTGCCGATCTCAAAGAACCTGATTCGGTCCCCATGGGGCAGGCACAAAATTTATGCTCTGCAGTTTCATCATTTTCCAGATAGAGGCGACACACACTATCTTCCGACAGTCCAAGTCTCTGCATGTGATGATTCAAATGACAGTGACCTGTAAGAAGGCCTGTTAGACATCGTAGTTCATCCCTATTGTAGTCCAACAACTGTTTGGAATCAAGCTTCGAAAGGTGAATAAACACCTTGCAGTGAGCCAATCCAGGAAGATTCTGCCAGAAGTCCATAACTCTTCTTGCCATCCGGGTGTTGAGTGTTTGTTTTGCAAAGTCCAAAGCGATGCCAATAACAGGTTCTGGTCCAACAAAGCCGCTTGCAGCACCCTCCTTTGCAAAGAGTCAGCAGCTTCATTGCCTTCCAGGCCAGTATGGCTAGGAATCCAGACCAGAGACAATCTGTTTAGTTTCCCTATCGAGGAGAGTCTTTTTTAGCAGTTTGCTACCAATTCAGACGTTGCTCGGTGGTAGCCAAGAGCTTCCAACGCCGCTTGACTGTCCGTGAACATTTTAATTGACTTGTGAGTCAGGTTGATGGATTCATCCAATCTCTCCGCACACAATTCAATAGCGTAAATTTCCGCTTGAAATACAGTCGCATAAATTCCTAGGCAGGTAGATAACTCTGTCCTGGGTCTGCGACTGAAAACACCTGCACCAGAACCGGAAGGTGTTTTTGATCCATCTCTGAACCAACAAAATATTTCCTTCTCCCGCAGGACCCAGTCCTCTGTAATCGGGAATAGTACTTTATAAGGCAGTTCGTAGTTGACAGTTGGAGGCATAAAGTCAGAGGTCGTTTCCAGAATGCTGTGGCTCCCAATGTCAACCAACAGTCTGTTGCACTCTGCATTGAATTGATTTGTGCAACTGGCAATGTGCACAAATCTGTATGCAGTCCATCTAGCCTCTCTTTCCAGAAAAATGTGGAGAGGAGGTAGATCTAGAAGGTTGGTGGGAAATATTGAAAACAGTCTTTTTCATGACGATTTGGGTTCACCTCAGATATTTTTGTGAACACCGTAAACATTTAGTCTCCATCAGAAGGTATTTTTTGCTGTCTCACAGATATTTTTATTCTTCAAAGAGAAATTTGATTCAAAGTTTATATTATGACCCTCATTCCTTCCCAAGCAGATCTGACCTCTTGATCTCTTCTTTTTCTTTCTCTTAGCATATGATTCCTGCATAAAGAAGTGAATTTTTATCTGCATTACTCGAAAAAGAAAATTCATTAAAAAGATGATTTTTGAACAGTTGAATTATAAAATAAAAATGATCCAAAAATATTTTCAAAAGCTTTCACAAAAATTACTCGTACGTACAAAATTGATTGAATAAGATGTTGGACGTCCACCTTCCATAAATTGATAAGTATCAGCTCTTTTTCTCATTGAATGCTCTTCAGTATGAATTGGCGTGCTGCTAACCAATCTTTCCATACATGAAATAATCCCAACTATTGAGGATTAGGAACCTAGGTGGCCACGCATTTGATCCTATACACCCTATCCAGCAATTATTGTAATTTTTATTTGAATATACGCAAACCAGAGCACTCATGTGTGCTAAACCACAGTACTTGCCTGATAGAATGGAGGTGTCTTCCATCGAAGCAGCAGTTTGCTTGGGTTGAAGTTGATTTCAGTGCGGAATAAAATTGTGATAAAGGTAACCTATGTGCTTGGCTTTTGAATGAAAGCCCACAAATCTCTTTCTATCAATTTTCAACAAAACAACAAAAAAGATAAAATGGAACTTCAACTAGCGTATCCTAATATGACTAATAACCAGTCCGTGCAAAGCTTATTATTAAATCATCTGATGATGGAACGTTTAACAGGTGATGATCGACTGTATTGCCAAACATGCGCCAAACTAACTGACTGTTAGTTATTCTAATAATAACACTGATGATCTTCAAACATGACTCATCCTCTGACGTAAGCACCAAACTCTTACGAAGGTTCGAAATAGATGAATTCTTCAATCTAGCAGATAACTATTATGATATTCATGCAGTCATTGTTCACTGTGCTACTGGTGTTGAATTTGGTCATTATTACGCCTTGGTCAAAGACGAAACGGACTGACGATAGTCGTGTCACGAAGTGTTCTGGCGATGTATTGAATTTATTGGAGCCTACATTTTGTTCTATAAGAGAGAGGACATTGGCAGAACAAGATCTTCAGATGATGTTTTGCCGCAGGTTTTTCCGGGTTTTCCTGCAAACTGAAGAAGCAAATGCGCCACTGGAATCAATAAAGTCGCCCCAGAGCGCCAATTGATTTCTATTTTTGTTTTATAATTTCATGATTTCTATTTGGGAAGTGTTAATAAAATCTTAAAAAAAATTATTTTCACTTCTTGAAAAAATCACTGGGGAAGTTAATCCGTTGTGATATTTTTTCAAAGAATATAGCACGAACCTCTTACATATAATTGGAATAAAATTGATCGTCATGAAAAAATCTCGAGGATACGTGAGATATTCCAATTTTTTTACTTGATGCATAGTCTTCTTCATCTGAATTCACTACCCTGATAATAACGGACTTTTACTTTTGTTTTCAGTTCATCAAACGATACATATATCTATCCAATTTTCAAAATATCTCATTACTGGTTTACTATGATCGGAGCCATCATATGCCTGACCGTTGGCCTTTTCATCAGTTATTTGTCCAAAGAAGCAAAATCAACAGTTGCTAAGGAGCTGTTGAGTCCCTCAATATATGGATTAATAGATGAAAAAAAGTATATGAACAAAATGGATCTGGATTATTCCAGTGTAGAAGATGCTCTGAATAAACTTGAAAATGGAGATGCAGGTAGAAGAAGGTCTTCCAAATGGGAAGCATTAAGAGAGGAGAGGCTGCGTAGGAATTCCTCCATTAAGGAACCTGTGTTTGATGTTTAATTGTTGGTTTGTTATGTTGATGAGTTTCATCATATATATTATCGAATTTTCTTTCATATTTTACCTTTTTTCATTCCTACATAGCAATAATCTATTCAAGAAACATTTGTGATGCAATGTATGGAATCTCCGATGTAGTAATGAATATTACTGGAGGTTTATGCCAACTACAAACCTTCATTTTTAGCACTTCGTTTCACTTGTATAATAATAATAATGATAAACCGGCTTTATTGATGATACAAAAAAAAACAATACAAAGATACATTTCAAAATGAAAATAAGTTACAGGAGATTCTGTTACTCTTTGGCGAAGTCTAGCTCAAAGCTACTCTAACTCAACTAACAAGAACCACTCCATAATGCACGCGAACATACAGAAATAAAAGAAAATTAACAGTGATGGTAACACGAAATAAGAAACATAAATAAAAATAATAATTTGTGATTACCCTCTGAAGAGATTTGATAAATAATTTCAATTGATCTTTTGTTTATTAATTTGTCCAATGAGCAAAAGTTGACATTACTGACTATCATAGATATAATTTTCATATTTGTATTTGAACTTCCTGATATTGAATCTCTTCAATTGCTCGGACAATGAATTATAGGGTTTTACAGCACCGAAAAGAAATGATCTCTGAAACTGTGCATTGCGATATTGTGGCATAGTTAATTTATTTTTATGACTAATATTCCTTGAGTGAATATTTTCACGCAGAATTGGTTTTTGTTTCAAAAGGGGAGAATGGGGAAGGGTAATCAATTTATGAACAAAACAATCCAAATGATGAATCATACGGTTTTTCATACTGAGCCAGCGGAAGCTTTTAAAGGCTTCAGAAATTGAATCATAATAACAGTCCATAAATTAGGCGGCAACAAGAATTTCGCAATCATATAAGTATGGCCCATATATGAAGTTACAGTAGTTGAAATGGCTTAGCACCAAACTATCACAGAGCATTCTTTTTAGAGGTTGGCTCAAAATAAAACGATTACAGTATAACAGTTTCAATGACATATAAGCTTTTTCCATTAAATTTTTAAGATGACTAGTGAATCTGAGATCAGTGTCAAGCATTACCCCTGAGTTTTTAGCTGTATTGACAGGAGTTAAGATAGTATGACCTAGTTCTACTAGATAGAAATTGTTTTCTCCAAATTTACGATTCTTCTAAGATCCAAAATGCATCATCATTGTTTTATTAGGATTAACTTTCAAATCATGTTCACTTGATAGCCCATTGATCAAATCAAGATCAGTGTTGAAGAGATTTTCTGCCTCAGCATACTCATCGATTTCAAAGTGCATGTATAATCGTATGACGAGATAATGGACGAGATAATGTCAGTAGTATACATGATGAACAATAAAGGTCCCAAAATAAAACCCTGTGGTACTCCTGATAGAATATCAAGAGGTAAGGAGTGCTGACCATCGACAACAACTTTTTCAGATCGACCAAGTAAATAAGACCAGATGGGAAATAAGGCAGCACTATCAAAACCATGATAATTGAGTTTCATGCAAATCAGCTCATGATTGATGGTATCGAATGCTTTTGGATAATCTAGTAGAACCAGAGTGCTAATCATTCCCTTATTAAATCTCTCAACAATGTTTTGCGTAACAGTAGCACGATGACAGATTATTGGTATTGAAATATTCATTAATTTGTGAATAAATCACTCTTTCAAAAATTTTACTCATTGTTGAGAGTATACTGATAATTCTGAGATCAGAATAACTATCTGACTTTTAATATCATTCAGGATTTCATGAATATCTTCTTCAGTAGCAAACCTTAATGAGAAGTTATCTTGCCTGCTAAAAAATTCAATATTTTCATCACAATTATTAGAAACATTTTGTACGAACTGGGCAAGATAGTTGTTTATTTCATCGGGATTCGAGAGGTGATTGGGTGATGAATTTTGTTTTCTTTGGAAGAACATTGAGGTTAGAGACAGCATTCCAGGTTTTGCCTGATATTTTTTCAGAACAGACAGACTTGAGATATGTCCTTTTTTCAGTTCTAACTATTGACAAGGTATAATTTCTCAATGTTTTATGCCTCATACATTCATTAACAGATTATTTTTTAATTTTTAAAGGCTTCATCACGTTCTTTCATAAGAAGTCTGAGATTTTGAGTGAGCCAAGGAGTGGGAGGTTTGGTGATTCTAACTTTTTTGATAGGGGCTTGTCTGTCAAAACTAGAGATTAAACATGAATTGAAATTGTACAATTTATTATCAATATCATTTTCACTCATAATTCCGAACCACGGCAACTGTTATAAATCTGATAAAAAGTATGCAGAGTGAAATTGTCGAAACAGCGGTATGTTACAAATTTGGGCTCTATTTTGAATTTCTTTTTTAAATATTCAACGTAAACTAGCCTGTGATCTGAAATGCTTTGGGATGATAAAGTACTAGATCCTATAACATTATTATTATTAATAACGAAAATTGGGTCAATGAGCATGCTAGAAACGTTGGTGATCTTTCCTCGTATTGTTTTCTGAATCCAACAAGTCTGCATTTCTCTGTACCTACACCAGAAAGATTGACAAAACTGTCGTATCGTTATGCCTTTCGTATCAGTTTGCCTAAATTGATTTCTTTAAATCAAAAACAATCGAATTACGTAACAAACTTGATTAAAAAAGTCTTCATTGTCGTCAGACTCAACCCACGCAAATCGCATATAATTAATCTTGTTCATTGTTTGAAAAATACTTCATGTCAAGTACTCCGACAGCGGACGATATAAACTCAAGAATTTTTATTTATATCCACAGCCTCAAGTCGTCAGATTACCTCTGGAAACAATTCTTAGAACAGTTAATAAAATCTCCTCCAATAGTGGATATAAGATCTACATTACAAGCATGTCCGCTTTCATCATATGTCATTAAAGGATTACAAAACTCCGAACTCGAGCAAAACATTGTTTTTTATTTAAGTGTAGGCAGTCGACGATCGACATGACCTCACACTTGATATTTAAGGATTTCTTTTATCTTGAAATGGGTGGTTACCAATCGAACTTGAAAAAATATGTCCGCCGCACCTTTTTCAAAAACCAGTATCTTTTTTTTTTTCTAATTATAATCTCGTTTTCATCAAGAACCTGATTTAATATTGGTATTTATTCAGTATCGAGAAATAATAAAAACATGAGCTCTGAACAAAACAAAATGTAGAAATCTTCCAAAGAAAGGAGGGAAGCAACCGATTTCGAAAATTAACTCTATAAAAAGATGTGTAGATCATGTAGAGAAGTAACATTCAGACACAAACTAAAAGAAAAGTGTTTTCGAAACAGCTACTTTCATATAAACATTGAATTACACTGAAAGAAAAATACTTTCGAAACATTCTTTGTGGAATTCACAGGATTCCTACACAATATAGTAAGTGGGGGAGATCACATTTCACTTACATGGAACACTGTCATCCTCGAATCCAGATCCAATGAACAACATCAATATGTGTGGTGAAACTCTGGAATACTGTCAGGTAGCTAGACTTTAAGCAATACTCCTGGATCAAAAGCTAACGACTTAGTCATCTAAGTCCAGTGTCTACATGGCACCAAAGTACACCTTTAACACAAACTTCATGGTCAAAATCATAAGCCGTGAAGAGTGAAAGACCATTAGTCATTCCGAAAACATGTTTGGAAAAAACACCTGGTATACATATGAATCGAAGACCAAACATGGAACGGGACCTAGAATATACCGAGCGGATAGAAATCAAACTACAGGTTTCCGCTTGGACCATACACATCCGTCTTTCAGGCGGAAGTGTATGCTATTTGCAGTGTGCAAGGCTTATTAAATTGAGTTCTCAAAGAAATGAGCGGATCAATATTTTAACAGACAAACCTGAAGGTGACATCAAAACTGGTCCGAGAATGCCATGAGGAACTGAATGAACTTTCAAACAGGAACAAATTAACTTTGTACTGGGTGGCAGGGCATTCAGGAATCACAGGTAATGATAAAGCTGATGAATGCGCTAGACACGGATCATCAACTTCATATATAGGTCCTGAACCAGCTCTGGGG